ACCACACAAGACACACATATACACTTCCCGGCGCGATCTTTTTCGACACACATACGTGTGTTTGGGGGAGAGAGAGAGCGTGCGCGCGCACTGACGCGCGCGCACTCGCGCGTGTGTGTGTCTCTCTGTGTGTGTTTTCTTTCAGCAGGAAATTGAAATATATGTGCCTGGAAATAAACTCTCCTTCTTTGCACGCATGCATACACAGACAGACACATACATAGAGAGAGAGCGAGGAAAAAGGGATCTAAAAATAGGCTATAAAAGCAGCTCGCTTCATAATGGCTGCTGGGTTTTCATTTATTTGTGCAAATTCCTAATTTTTTAAAAAAAAATAACATTCGTTTTTGCCTTCTACACGCGGTGAATCAACATTTCCCTCCCCCATAGTGAAATGTGTGTGTGTGTGTGTGTGTGTATTCCTAATTTTTTAAAAAAAAATAACATTCGTTTTTGCCTTCTACACGCGGTGAATCAACATTTCCCTCCCCCCATAGTGAAATGTGTGTATGTGTGTGTGTGTGTTAGAAAGAGGTCAGAAGCAGGAGTGGGGGCAGGGATATTGAGGTGGGAGGGGGAAGGGAGAGGGGGGAAAAATTACATCAGACACCAGAAAAGAAACAAATCAGAAGGGAGGAAGAAAATTATTAAAGTTAAAAGACACCGATTTCCAAAAATAAAAAAATAAGGAGAGGAGCAGGGATTGGCGGCGAGGAGAGGGCCGCTTTGGGAAAAAAAAATAACCAAACGGCTCTTATTTCCCCCCCCCTCATAATTTCCTTACCTTTGCAACGGACGGCACGGTGTAATCTCGCCCCCTCCTTTTGCAATGAAGGCAAAAGAGGGGGGAGGGGAAGAAAAGCATCGAGAGGTCTACCTCAGGCAAGCTTCCTCCTTTTCTTGTCTTAGGTCGATCCTATACGGAGGATTCGCAATGGCGGTGCTGCCCTCCCCCCCAAAAAAAAATTAGGGGGGGAGAATTAAAAATAAAAGCCAAGCGGTAGGGGGGGAGGGGGGAAGAAAAGATCACCAAAAAAAAACAGCCACCAAGAATTCAATGTATTCAATTATATTCCCAAAGGCTTGGGTGGGTGAGCTGAGTGTGGAGAAGGGTGTTGATTTTTTTAAAAAAAAAGGGGGGGAGGGTCGGTGGAGAGGTTGATGTGTGGGGGAGGGGAAAAGATTATGGATTGAGTCCCAAGGAAGGCGGAGGTAATAAAAAAAAAGTAATCTCTGTGTCTCTCTCTGTGTGTGTGTATGTGTGTTTCTGTATGTGAGTGTGAGTGTGTGTGTGATTTAGATTGAAGAGGAATTGAGGCAGAATGTTAAAGCTGTTACTAAGGGAAGGAGCCAAAACGGTTCAGAGCAGCCAACGGCTTTCAGACACTCAGCAATTGGGGGGGGGGAGGAGAAGAGAGAGAGAGAAAAGGAAAAAAAGGTGGCCAGCCATACAGAAATGAGGGAAGAGAGAAAGAGAGGCGCGCCTGCGCACACTCTCTCTCACACACACACAAATACACACACACATACACAAGACTGGGAGAGAGGACTCGGCAGGCGAGGCCGGGCCTGCCTGCCGGTCTGCCTGCTGGCTTCCTGCAAGAGCAAGTCAGTTTGCATGCAAAACAAGAACCAGGAGGGGAGGAAGAAGAGGAAGGTGCAAAAAAATAAAAATAAAGGATATTTGGAGTCCTTTTACTGTAATGTATAACGTTGTTGTGGGGGGGATTGCAAAGGGCAGTT